GTTTGATGAGAAGCGATTTGCAGAGCTCAGGGTTGAGCTTCTTGAAAGCCCACTGGGCATCGATATTGGTCAACAAATCAAATCCCTGTTACGATACTGTCCAAGAGAAAGATCCAGCTCTCTCTGATGAACTGCTATCTAAGCAATGCCACGGAGACCAAGTCAAACAGGCCTGCGACGGTGAGTGAGAGCCGAGTCGACACAAGAAGACAGCTGGATGTGAGCCCTTGTGATCACACGAGGTGAGCAGCATGTGCACCGGGGATTGAACTTTGATCACGACAGGATTAAGCTTGGAACTGAAGTGTGTTACCCGCACACACACACACACACACACACACACACTCACAGAGACACCTACTCACACACAGGTTTAAAGAGGCTGTGCATTAATGAGTCAGTAACTGGTAGATGTGTCCAAACTGCATAATGAGATATAATGAAGATATCAAGGACGGAAAAGACATGCCGGACAAAATATCGAAACGTCCGTATTTTGTAGGTTCAGTCAAAGGGAATGTTCTGATGTAAAAGGTGAGTAAAAAATGTTTTCCGGTTTATTTGATATATCATCTTTAAAGCTGGGCTGATACTTCGTCTTTTACATTGTGTTGACCACCTGGCTGCTCACACTGAATTAAAGAATGGAGCCTGATTTGGTCCAGTGACAATTCCAATAAAGTTCATTCAAACATGATGTCTGCGTCTTCAAAAGGAGAGAAAGGCAGTGTTTGTGCAATTCTACTATGAATGAAAAAGAAAAGAAAGGTATGGAGTCACAGATGGCTGGAAGAAGCAGACAATATGATCCGTGTGCTCTGCAGCAAAGTCAAGACTACAGGTTTAGCCACAACATGTAACTTCTCTAAAAACATTCAAACAAGCACAGTGCAACAGTGCAGTTTATAACGGATATTCTGACAGCAGCCATGGGGGAGAAGGGATGGCTCAAGCTGAAAGACAGCCGACCAAAGTTTTTCTGACATGCCAGAAATCCAACCAATCGCTGATCTTTCAGGCAATTAATCTGGCTTAAATGGCCGCCTCAAACTGCACGTCACATGACAGCCGATCCGGCAGGAATTCAGTCCGCTTCTATAATGAGCTGAGGGCCATCGGCCCCGCACAGTGTCTGCCCAGCTTGAGGCACAGGTGGAAGAGCGAACATTAAAACATGTTCAGCTTTGTTTTCTTTCATTCAAACCGTGAATTGTAAAACAATACTTTGTACAAACTCTGTTTAAATCATCAACAATGGGAACAATAGTCTTTCACTTTCTGGTCACTTGATCCTCTTCACTTTACAAGCACTCGAGACACTGCACAAGACAATACGCCATGATATTGTATTTCCAGGGACTCAGCATTGACTTTTCCTTCACGGGCAGAAGATCAATTCTTTACGTGACTGACTCGCAGATTATGGGTATAGCTTTCCAATATCGTGGACAAAGGATTTATAGAATACGCCAGGATTTGAGTTTACAATCCAAACATATCCAGGTTTAGATCCGAAGGAATTCACCTCATCCCCACCTACAGTGACCTGTAGTACCTCCTCTGTGGCCTGTCATTCTTTGGTCCAGCTGAGCAGCTCCTCCCAGCCTTATCTAGCCACGTCCTGGTGGCGTCTCTGGATGCTGTTAGAGAGAGAGAGAGAGCGGGGCTGGGAGGAAGGAGCAATGAAGACGCAGCAGGGTTAGGACAGGAAGAGCCTCTCCGACCACTAGGACTGTTTGAGACGTTTTTTGGGGGGGCCGAGGAAGGGGCACTGAGCCGAGGCCAGCGAGTGATAGGCCTCTGCAACCAGGTGTGGATGTGAGGTCACCATGGACTTCCAGCTCGGTGTCTCCATCACATCCGCTGCATGACTGAGAGAAAGAGGGCAAAGAGAGGAGATACAAAGTAGAGGAAAGTCCAGAAAATGTTTAAGGAAAGAAACTCAAAGGACAAGTGCACAAATAAACAAGTTTCTCGAAGCGCTCGGGATTGTGTGAGTCCATCTGTGTGGAGTGCAACTCTGAGACATTTAGGATTTGTCATACCAGCTGGCAGAGCTGTTATTTACTTTATATTTTTAAATATTTAACCCCGAAGGTTATTCTCAGAGAAATAACATCACACAAATAAAAGGCAACGGTCATAAATATGCAGAAAGTCTGTTGAGTCATATCATATCACATTCTTCACAGCACTGGTTGTAAACCTGTTTTGCGACCCTTTCTAACCAATGCAACCCCTCTTCACACATTACACACCAAAGAAATGATGATCCTTCACACACTGCTTTTTAGAGGCTAGAGGAGTTAAAGCTCTTCAGGATTTCACACCATTTAAAAAAGAGAAATGGGTGAGAAAAAAAAAGATATATTTTGTGACCCCTTGGGGAGCTCCGACTCCAAGTTGTGTACCGTGCTTTAGAGTAACAGCAAAATATATATATTGTTTTATTGTAATAGTTTGTTCTATTTTAGTAGGTGTACCTACATAAACGGTGGTATTTCAGTTTATTAGATGTTGACTAGAGTGGCCAGATTGGGGGTACTTGCACTTTATTGTTTCCATTTGAATCTAATTTATATTACTTCTCCACTTTAACTGCTTATACATTTTCGCTTAAAAAAATGAGAATCAAAATATAACTAGATAATACTTTCGTTCTCTTGGTTAAGTTAGCGTCAGACTGGGTCGGGACATCTGCAGTACACCTGTGAGCCACACGAGGGAGCCTGAATGTTCGTATGTTCTGATAATTGTAGCCTACTTTTTACACTGAATCTAATATGAAAGGCTAACATACATCCTGTTTGTTTTACTGTTGAGAAGACACAAGAATGAGATAGCCTGCCAACTCTGCCTGAATGCATTCATCAATAACACATGCATTAAACTAAGTTGTGAAATATCAAACGTATACCTCTTGGAAGAGGCTGGTTAACCTCTTCAAGGTAATATAAGCTGATGCAGAAATGGCAGTAAAAATGGTCAGGAAAGTCATTTATGCACAAATCTGCTCTTCTACACGATTTATAGATAATGCTTATTGGGAATTGGGACGCGATGGTTTGTCATTTTTAAAAAGTCGGTCCTCAGAAAAAAACGTTTGTGAAAAACTGATATATAGTAAATGAGGTGGGGTAGGAACAGAAAGCACAGGGCTGAGTATCAAGGAAGAACTACACATGATTAACTAATTCCTGTGGTTTTGGAACTCTAAAGCTACAGCGACAATTAACAAATGGAAGCCAGAAAGCCAAAACAACTTGACGTCATTAACTGCGAATGAGTTTTACTGGTGGTCATCGTCACCCACAGATGTGTTTCCACCAGCGGACCCTGTGGCGGTCTTCCACCTCCTGACACCCGCTGCACTATCACGCACACCGCTGTGTGGCCTTTAATGACATTTTTCTGGATTTGTTGTGTGTCTATAAACAACAGCATGTGTGCGCATGTTCACATGCGTGTGTGTCTTGGCATGGCTACTCTTGGCATTTCGGCGTGTGTGTGGGGTCATATTCTCTCCACACAGCAGCTCCAGACCTCCAGCCAACCTCTGACCCAAGCCTCTATGGAGGAGGTGAACCCCTGCTTACAGTAATGGCCAGTGAGCTGAGGCAACAGGCCAGCGAAGGGCACGAAGAGAGCAGTCGCAGCAGGAGAGGAAGCAGGAGGGATGCACCGCGAGGGGAGAGAGTAAGACAGTAAAATAAATAAATAAAAAACAGGGAGGTGAGCGATAGTAATGAAAGTCTGCAGAGAGGGACAGGAGGGGACAGCGGGAGGGAGAGGAGCAGTGATGTGAAGGTAAATTAAAAACAGGCCAAACTATGACCTCCAGACAGCGGTAATCACACTGGATCGCTATTATCAACAAAAAATACTTTCAAGAAATGAGTACTGTTTTTGTGCCTTAAAAAAACTTTTTATATGAATCTACTCTGAGCTTAAGATTCATGTTGGGCTAAAAAAAAAAAAAGTGTAAATTCTTATCTCTGAACAAAGTGGATAAAGAGTGTCTGGGAGGCTTTACTCTCTGCCACCTCCCAGAGGAGGGTAAATAAATGAGACAGAGGTAGGTTAAAGACAACTCCTATTGTCTCGACTAAATGACTGTAAGCTGCTTGTGAACACTGGTCTGGAAAGAGGTTGAGGTGCTGCTGGGGGGAGGATTATTGGTTCCTTCGTGTCGTCGGTTTTCTACATTCGTCCTCTAAATTGATTTTTGTTCCATTGCTGTCCATTGTGTCCGCAGGACGAGGGTTGATATCGCTTTGCTGGCCAGGAGTCCCCCGTGGCCAATTTTCCCACCACCACAACACTGGGGCAAATTAAACTGTCATAACGTCCATAACCACAATTAATGACTGGGATTAGGGGCAGAGATCTGCATTACTGACCACCTTTAGGCATACATGAGCTCTTAAGCACAGAACAAGAGGGGAGAGAGGAGAGGGAAAGGGAAGGAAGATGGGAGCGAATGGAGGAGGAGCCCATGCAGGAACAAGGCCAGGAGATGGAGCAAAGCTGTAAATAGAGGACAGAGGGATGAACAAAGGGATAGAAAATGTGTCTGGCTCAGAGATAGAGAACTCTGAAAAACAGAGGGACGGTGATGAGTGTTTGTGGTGACTGAGAGAATGCTTTTTGTTTCAACTGGCAATTCAAACACAGGGTCAATCACCTCTCCGTTGACATCAATAGCAGTCATTGATGCTAATAGGCCCCATCTTACCTAAACAGGCTGCCTGCAACATGATTAACATCAGCAGCTGAGCTTGATTGCTAAATGGCTCAATATGATACGGAAGCAGAATGGTCCGATCTGGGGATTCAATTCAATTTCTTCGGGAGAAAAAAAAATTGCTCCCACGGATAATTAATGACTTCCTTTGAGGAAAAGCTAAGTGTATAAGTGTGTGTGTGATCCAGAAAAAAGAAATAGTGAGTGTGGAAGTAGTTGTGGAGATCAATGCTCTCAGCGGAGGTGTGTAACTCACTAGTTGATGAAGTCCACGGCCTGAGTCTTGAGCTGGTCGGCGCAGCGCAGGTCGGCGAGGATGAGGATCTCTGCGGAGTTCTCCTCACTCTGACTCGTGCACAGAGCGTCCTCGCACATCACCTTCAGCCTCTCCAGAGCATACTGCCGGTGACAGGGAGAGCGAGGAGAAACAGCAGGTAAACTAAATTACTTAAACAGCGCTGCCACAAACAACTGTTGTCGCACTGTGTAATGATACGGAAGTACGGAATTACTCCGCCGCGACGCCAACAAGACTGAGATCGAATAAGAGAAAAATACGGCCGAGAGAAGGAAAAGTGACAGCTCCGGAGACTGAGGGGGAGTGGCGGTAGGAAAGGAGATCACTTGAGAGGTATAAAAAAAAAAAAGTGATTTCCACTAATTATAAAATTGCTGGGAACAATAATCTTCTCTCATATTCATTCACACTTCAGAATGAGTCATGCTGGTTCAGCAGCGACTACAGGGGAATTTCAGATTGAGCGTGATTTTTATTAACACTAATGATGCAAAGGAGTTCATTTAAATGAACTTCCACTAAACTTATGCGAGGGATGTTTAAGACTCGCCTCACAACAAAGGGTTCTCTGCCACCAAACTCGAAGTATTGGTGAAAGAGAATACAGTAATTAGGAACTGCAATGTTGCTCTCAAGCGTGATGGCTGGAAGTGAGGTGAAAAAATATCGATATCTCTCTCCGAGATAAGCTGAAAACATTCAAATCCGTGGCTGGGTTTAAAGAAAAAAGACCTCTGAACATCATTTGACAGATTTTTCCAAGTTCATTGTTTTTCGTTGAAAGGTGGCATATATACCCGCATTGCCATACCACGAGCCATGCACAGGTAGAACAGTTTACTTCATACTGTTTAATTGGATGCTTTAGACAGAACACATTGGAACAGACCTGTTGCGAGCCGATAAAAGGGGGAAAAATATAAAGCATGCTTCACAACGTGCAGCTTTTAATAAATAATACTATTAATAAAGCAAATGCAATAACCTCTTAAAAAAAACTGGAGAACAGCAAGAGCAAAACTGGAAGACATAAGTGGCTTCGGATGAATAGAGAGGAAGCCTTGGGTCTGCAGGGTCAGAACAGGAACAAACAACCAGGAATAGGATTTATTATAAGTGTGTGCATCTGTACGTCTCCCACATGTTTAGATTTTCCAACAACATAGTGTTTGAATGTGTGTGTGTGTGTGTTCAGGGCTTGAGGAGCACTTGGTTGTTATTTTAGGGGGCATTATTATTTATGCTGGCTTGTGTATAAGTGTACATAGTAACAGGTGCATGCACATCCACACACGAAGACGCGTGCGCGCGCACACACACGCACACACACACGCACACACACACACACACACACACACACACACACACAGTACCTTGTCAGCTGCAGCCAGCAGGTCATCAGCCATCTTGTCCAGGTTGGGGGCCTTGCCTGTGTAGATGAAGCACATCATCTCTTTGAAGACATCTGGCTCCACGTCATTTATCTCCACGCGGTTCTGAACGAGAGGCGAGGACGGGAGAGGAGAATACACACAGGGTTTAGCGGAATAAAAGGCAAGAGAAGAGAAAGACAGACGCTTTGACAATCCTTCAAAAACCACGAGCAGCAGCAGAGTGGGTTTCTTTTTTACTATCATTTCATGTGAATATCCCAAAAGGTACCTGAATTAAACTCACTCACCTTGTTTAGCACACACACAGGGACAGGCAGTCATGCAGTGATGCAAAACAAGTTCCAAGTGCCAAATCAGAAGGAAGAAGAATAAACTTCTGGACAGCCTGACCAAGTTTCTACAAAACTACATTCTAGTACATTTATTTCATTTATTTCAGCAGGTTCCTAAAAATGTACCCTGAACATTCATTCCTCGACTGTGCCTGCAGCCAACAGAGTAGGGCTTTATCGCTCGCTGGCCCAGTGACGGTAACCTGAATCTCTCTCTCCTCGCTGAGAGGCAGAACAAAGCAGTAAACCAATTATAACGGCGCTTTATCGTCACCGCGGTGACCAGCGGCGTTTTTAGCAGGGTCAGGCCGAGTGTACCGGCAACTTAGCGTGTTTGTGTCAACTCCGACCCCTCAACAGCAACATGAACACACTGACAAATAACGGTGGGAGAGTCGGAAAGCAGCCGGGTTGAGCTTACAGCCCGCAGTGTGCTACAGTGCCCTTTTACAGATAACACACGTAAAAGGCATGTGAGCACACATGCAGCAAAAAAAAATTATCCTCTGCTCGCTACATAATGCATATCCAATCTGCATGTACATATTGTTTCTAAGACTCTTACTTAGAGAACAACGTTTCCCATCACAGCCTGAGCTCTCTTACTTCTGCCGTTTGCAGGCAATCAGGCGATTAGCGAGGAGGTTTGACGTACAGAAGACGAAAACTTCGACTAATTTCATTCTGCAGATTTTTTGACAGCGAAGCGTGTTGGAGTGTTGATGAAATATAGAAGGCAAAACAGCACCACGTTGGAAGTCACATGAGGAAAAACCAGCAGGGGCTTCCTTCAGTATGTCGAAGGCGAGCTTTCAGCAGCCGCTCATAAACAGATGACGCTCCTGTAGTTACAGTGTCTGAAGCTCCCCTCTATGCACAGAGCAGTCCTCTATTAGAGTGTTTCTTTATGAGCTCATTTGTCTCTCCTATATAGAGTGCTGCAGAGGAGTGTTAACCCATCTATCTGTTTTCTCTGAATTGTATGGGGACACGGCCCACCATCTCTCCCTCCTTCTGATGAAGACGCCCACTTAAACAGCAATTAAGATGCATTTCCTGGCTCTAAGCTTTATAATTTCCCCATTCGAGCCGCACAGGCATCAATATTCTGCTGACATGACGGCTAAATCACCAAGGTTCAATCTCACCACCTCCGACCAGATGAACACAACCAACTGTAGCACACACACAGACACACACACAGAGATAGATGCAGAAATACAAACACAAAAAGGAACATAAAAAATGCAAAGATATATATATATATATATATATATATATATATATATACACACACACATACAGTGCAGGTTTAAGAAAGCTTCATTAGTTAATAAGAAGACATCTTAACGCTGCAGCACTTGACATTAAGGTTACGATATTCAACAACTTGAAATCAGCATATTTATAAATGAACATGTTACCGAGGGCAAAAACAAGGCATTTAAAAAAGGTGTTTGTCCCACGTTGAACATAGAAATAGAAATAACTATTACCTCAACTGTGTTAAGGAGAGCACACACATTGGAGGAAATGTTTTGCATGTTGTTCTCTATGAATACAACATGAAAATCAACCACCGCATGGAGACAAAATACCTTGTGGTTGCAAGTTTGTAGATTTATATTGTGTTTAGCTATAAAATAAATGCTAATATTGTACAGTATATTGGTAGATTTTTTAACTCTTGAATATTGATATCGGTATCAGCCTCAGATATCCAGGAGCAGCTAAAGTGTTGAATCTGAAGCCCCAAACAATACACCACGACAGACCACCAATATCTTCCCACTGCCACAACTCCATCCTGGAGATCCTTGAGATGATGAAAGCAACACAGACTGCCCTTCAGAATCAATTCAAGGGCGCCACAATTCCATACAAACACAACACATAGTGGCATTAAAGACGCCAGATAATAGAGATGCAGTCAACAAGACATGAAGGAACACGTGCAGACACACTGAGATGTTTTGAGAAGTGAACACTTCCTGATCTAAGAGAGAGAGAGAGAGAGAGAGAGAGAGAGAGAGAGAGAGAGAGAGATATTAGAATTTAGACATCCGGCTCGCCGCTGAGGGAGCGGGAACGAGAGAGTCAAGTGCTCGACTCACCTTCTTACTCTCTTCCATCTTGTGCTCAAACATGGCACTGAACACCGGCGAGCGAGCTGAGACAGACAGAGAAACAAAAGACAGACAAAGAGAGAGAAAGAGAGAGAGAGCGAGAGCAGGAGGGAGGTTTGTTATTGTGTGTAATGTTGATGCATGGTGAGGTCTCTGATATGCGTTAACAGCCTGCCACAGGGCCAGAGGAGAGCGGGGGGGATGATTGACAGCAGGAGAAGCATCATGTGGAAAAAGTCGACTGCAGCTCCGCCCTGCTGACAGACTCATGAGCTCCGAGTTGTGTTTAGCCACTTTAATGCTGATAGGCTGACTTGACTGGAGCTTGTTTGATGCATTATGGTTTAATTAAGTTCTGGCTTCCTGTTTTGATAACATGGTCGCCTGCTGCCACTCAACATAGACTATTTTATGGTAGCATAGATAGAGGACTGCTGAGGCTTATTTTGCTGGAAATAAAATTAGGAGTAGATGTGTTTCAGTTGATTTTCACCCAGCTGTTGTATCCCTGCAAATCCAAAATGTGTTCTGTCTCTTGTTGTAAGAGGACACTGTTCACCACATTCTACAAATCCTCTGGAGGCAAGGACAGTTTAGACTTTGCCTCCATTTACAGAAAATGAAGAGAGTAAAGTGGAGACAAAATGCAAAAGAGCTGCTGCCAAAGAAAAAGAAAACCTTTATACAAAGAGTTTGCAGTGCAAATAGTATTTTTATAATCCAGATTGATGATTTAATCACATTTCGCCGCACTTGACCTATTGATAAAAAAAAGACACGTTTGTGGGTTTTTTTAATCACTAAACAGGTGAGGTGACTTGTTGCACAGTGTCTTTTCTCTCTTCATACTCCAGACACGACCGCAGCAGGAGGAGTATGTTTAATCCTCCGGCCATGCTAACTGTCCGATTTAACCACGGCACTACGAATTACGTAAATCAGTCCCACTTCTGTTAAATCAAAATCACTGCTGTATGATAATTCTGCATGCTTACAATAATCACCACATCTTGTCTCTGTAGTTCTGCTTTAGGATCAGTGTATTTTCTGTCTTATCATGGCGACATTGACAGCGGTTAGTTGCGGCTGAGGCTGAGGATGAACCTCTCAGATGCAGTCTGTGGCTGGACTTAATTACCTTTTGGTTGTTTAACAGCAGCGAGAAAGTGTCTCTACAAAGGTTAATACCGTTAACCGTTAAGCCTTTTACTAAAAATCACATATCAATCAGTCAACTTCATAAGTATGTGCTCATTGGGTAACACTTTACTGTTCACTAATGAAATTAATGCTTAATCAACTAGTGATTAAAATTTAACGAATGTTTCAACACATTATTAAGTGTGTGTCGAAGTCAGTGATATGCTAATTCATTCTAGTTCTTAATAACGAGTTGTAAACCTCAGCGCTTGCTGCCCATCGAATTAGAAACGGGAGGTCATCCATCAACAGGCCACAAAAAGGTAGAATGCTGATAATATCAGTGAAACGTGGGCCAATGAGTGAATGAATACGTTAACAACGGGACAGAGTGGCTACGAGGTCAGCACCTGCCGCTTCGGTGGTAACACTTAATTCATCATCTAAGTAAATAACAGTAACTAACATCAGGTCCCACAGCATTCAGCGTTCACAAGTGACTTTCAGATATGTTGTGGCTCACGGTCAACATAACTTCTAAGGTCAGGCCACAAACAAAGCCTCTGGGAATCCCCTTGAACAGTGTTAACTTTTCATTAATGTTTTCAGGTAAAGTAAATTGAGTTGTCAAGATATTTTTAGGCGAGATGGGTCCTTATTCCTTCTATCGTATGATCAGATTATAGATGTGTCAGAGGAAGCAGGCTGCAGTAATGGTTTACCACACAGCAGTGGGAAGATTACAGTTGCAGACACTCAACAGTTCAATGGACGGTTAACGATCTATTCAACTATCAGTGTTGTTAAAGGGAATCAGTGAATATACTTCTCTTCCGCTTTCTCGGCCGAGGTGATTTGCTTTGTTTAACCGGAAGGCGAGGGAAGCTGATCGGACAATTTAAGATTTTTTGGACGGTTGATTTGAAAGAAAAAAAAAAAACAACTTCACCAATGACGAGGACTTTGGCATCAGAAAGTATGTATCTACATAACAGTTCACAAAAAGGTAGTTTGTCAGACACATGATATCTGTGACATGACGTTGCTGCCAATCCTTTTGTCACATAGTCACCAACTGACAAAATCCTGAAAAAAGAAAAGTGGAGTCATGAATAAACATCTGTGTCCTGGAGCACTGAAACTAAACTTAGCAGGTAGGACTATGGGGACAAACCTACAGTAAGTCTGTGTGGTGCAGCTCAATGCTGGTGAGCTCATACTGCAGCAACAAAGGGAAGGGGCGGGCAAGAAAGAGAGAGAGAGAGAGAGAGAGAGAGAGAGAGAGAGAGAGAG